AACGCGCGCTCCGGGGACGGCGAGCCGGCGCCCCGCTGCGCTGGATCCCGGGCTCCCCTGCCGGCCGGGCCTTTGGAATCTGCGGTAACTTTTCCAGGAATCGTCCAGGAGCTCTCGGCTGGGCAGCGATTGGAGCAGCCGCGCGGCCACCGCCCCTGGAGCCAAGGCAACCGATCGCGTCCCGCCCTGGCGACCGAGGGCAGGTAGGGGGCTCCGGGGGTCCCGGCGGCGCAGCGGAGCTCGGGGGACTTCCGGGATATCGAGAGAAGTGTTCCCCAACTCCAGTGTCCTGAACTCTTTAGAGCTCCAGAAATAGGTCACTAATCTCACCTGACACTCCCGGAGGCCCAGCCCCACTAACTTTCGCCTCTTTTCCCTGCTCTAAAATCTTATCCCTCCCACCCCACCCACACGGCCCTGAAGTTAGAGGCCAGAGCGAACCCACTGCCACCTGCCTACACCTCGCCGCCGCACCCCTCCCCCGTCCCAGTTGCTGGGGAGAGGGCACTTCACCTCCTTGGAGCCACCCCTTCTGCCTCCAGGCCTCCTAACGCATCCCAGCAGCCGCCTAATTCGGGGAGCCCTGCCCGCTTACATGTCTCGCAAACAGAACGGCAGCTCCGACTTTGGAGAAGAGGCCCACTGGGAACTCCTCCCCCACCCTTTTTTGGGGGCCCTACAGAGGAGACGCATTATTAGGAAGGGGAGACAAGGGGAACTACTCAGCACCACAGTCTTGAAAAGCATCCTTCCCCCGAGGGTGGTACCTGTTGGGTGGATAGAATCTCTTTTCCAATCTGAGGCCAGGAGCGGTGACAGGGAGTCACCTCGAGGTTGGGGCAAAATCAAAGAGGAAAAACAAAGACCCTCGGTGCTTGCAGCAGCAGGACTGTTAGGATTCCAGAACCTTTCAGGCTGGAGAGGATACTCTTCCCTGTAACCCCCATTTCCTGAGGAGTGATAGGTTTTACCATTTTCCGTCTTACCCCACTCCACACCTTGAGCTGGCTGCCAGTCAGAAATTGAGAGCCAATTTCTGTGTGGAGCCGGGAGATTCTAGCTACTCCCAGAGAGTGAACCTCTTAAACAGACAGGTGCTCCCCCAAACTCTCACAACCCCCTTTCTCCACCAAAACCCCATTAAGTCCAAGGGGCTAGGGGCACCCCTTCATTCTTCCATACTTACCTCTCCAAATATTTTTAAAAAATTTTTTGTAGAAATTACATCTTCCACCTCTGTAATTTTACCAGATAAATGTTCTCTTGCAAAAAACAAACCCAAAAACAAACAAAAAATATTACAATGATTTTGCCCTAGCCAGTTTTGCACAGTGGTTAGAGCATTGGTCCTTGAACTGAGGAATCCTGGGTTCTATTCGGATCAAGGGCACACGCCCTCAGTTGCAGGCTTGACCCCCGGCCCAACGGTATGCATGCAGGAGGCAACCAATCGATGTGTCTCTCTCACATCAATGTTTCTCTCTCTCCCTTCCATTCCCTCTGAAGAAGCAATGGAAAAAATAGCCTTGGGTGAGGAAAAAAATTATAATGATTCTTTTAAATTTTATTTGTTAAATGAAAGCCATACACAATTAATGTAGCAAATTTGGAAATTATGAAAAAACTGAAGAGGAAAATTACAATTACCTTATTCCACCATCCAAAGGTAACGACTATTATTAACACTTTGGAGTATATCTTGTCTTTATCTCTTTTATGTACGATATGTAAGTATATACTTATATCTTAAAAAACAAAACCGAGATCACATGATATACACTATTTTTAGTAATCTTTTTAATATTCAAAGAACATTTTTCTTTTCAAGTACTCTTCTACATGACTTTTAATGGCTGCACATTACTCCACCACCTGGATAGATATACAATAATTTACTTAAGCAATCCCCTACTGCAAATTTTCTTTACAGCAGAAATGATTTCCCAGACAGTTGCTTCCCATTTTTCTCTATTGCAATGATGGAACGAACATCTTATAACTAAACCTTTATTTTCTTAGGCTAAATTCCCAAATGTAGAATTACTAGGTCAAAGGTCATGGTAATATGTTTGATACATATTACCAAACTTACATCCAGGAAGGCTGTACCAATTTGTACCCCTATATGCAATGTACGGGAGTGTTATTTTAGTACTCCTTTGCCAACAGCTGGGTCTTATTTTTTCTGTTATAGCTTGCTATGGAGAAAATGCTTATAGGTATATTTGCCTCTCTTTACTAATGAAGCACACATTTTTTTTTCATGGTTTTATCCAATTGAATTTCTTTTATGAATTTCCTGTGTATGTCCTTTCACAGCTGGCTCTTGTTCCTTGAAGTTGCTTATATAAAAACTACAGGGTGGAGGAGAGGTGGAAGGAGGACACTTCAACCTGGTCCCACATCTCTGAAGGAGGCAGAAAGGCTGAAGATGGCTGGACGCTTGTCCTTGCTGGAGGCTGGCTGTCCTTCCTCTTCCTGGGGTGCTCCTGGCCTTTCTAGGCCCCTTCGGCAGGGTGCCCAGACAGGTCCCTGTGCTCTCCAGGCTGTGTCCTTCACTCGTCTTCCGCCCGCCTCTGTGTTCTGAGGCTGCTCTTCCTCATCTCTGCTCCATGATAGGTGAGGATGGCAGAGCCACACACCCAGGGCTGGAAGGAAACATTGTGGCCAGTGAAGCAAGGAGGAGGGGAAGAAAGGATGGAAGCAATGTCCAGGAACAGAGTGATCTTTGTTGAGGTCTATGAGTGGACTCAGTCTACCCACCCCCTTCTACCACAGTCCCACACACATCCAGCTTTGGCTGCAGGAGAGCTGGGTTCAATGGTCTACTCTCCCCTAAATCTTTCAGTTTCTCATAAATGGGGAATAGGACCCAGCTCCTGGTACACCTCTTCCTCTAAAATAGAACAAAAAGCTTTCTGCAGCCCCTAAAGGTGGCTACCTTCAGGCAGGGAGAATGGACCAAGGCTGAACCACACCAGAGCCTGAGCCAAAGAGTGAGATTGGATCAGGAGCTGGGGGTGGCAGGTTTACACTGCCTGATACCCCAAGGGGGGTCACATCCCAGAACTCAGCTCTTCTGGTTGTTGAAGGGGAGAATTTCCTGCCTGCACAGGCCTGAGCTGAGTCTCACATACCATCCTGGAAAGTAAAGTGAGGAAAGAAAAAGCAGTGGTAGCTGGAACCCCATCAGGGGCTGCAGTCCTGTTTTGGGTGGCAGAGGATGCCTGGGGCCACCTTTGCATGAGAAATCGATGTAGAGATAGAGCTCCTAATAGGCCCTCCAACCCTATCCCCACCCCCAGCTCCTGGGGTTATGGTCAGGGTGGGGAGGGGCAACAGCTTAAGTGAAAAGCTGTTTTGTTCCCGCCCCAAGCTCTGAGTCTGCACAGATGGGTTTCTGATTCCCTCAAGCACACTCAACTGGGTGATTTCCCCAGCTCACAGGTAGGTGGAGAAGCTGAGACAGGAAGTCTAAGGATCCCACATATAGGTAAGTATCCCTGAATCTGGAGTCTGGGCCAGTCTAAGGAAATGCAGGGAAAGGTAAGAGCAGAGGCATGACTACTGAGACGGCAGTTTCAGTATGACTTTTTCCCTGAGAGGAAGCTTGCTTCTGGACCTCACCTGGAAAGGCCAGTGGAAAGAATGAGAGGTAATAAGGGGGATCAAGAAAGCTATCTGGGTAAAGGGATAGACAGGGTTTTCTTTGCTCCACTTCTTCCCATTGTCACATAAAGACTGACTAACCTTGGGTAGTCAGGGCCATCTATTCCCTAATTTAGTCAGGGTCTCTAATCTAATATTGTTCTCTCTTGCTGCTCCAATCAGGGTAAAGGTTCTCCAACTGAACAGGGTTCACTTTCCTGAAACATCACCATCACTCCTGCTGTTCAGACTTTCCCAGCCCCAGTTCTGTCACCTTCCAGATGAGGGGGAAAGCAGCTCCTTCTCCTCCTCGAAGCCAGCGGCAGAGGGCAACAGTTCTTCAACTGGCAGCTTTAGCTGGGTCAGGACATAAAGCTTGCCACTGAAGAACTACTGCGGCTCAGCCAGGTGAGGGTGTGGGAGGTACAGGCTCCTAAAGGCAAAGGGAAGAAAAACGAGAAAGACCTGAGCAGGGCCATGTCACAGGGACACTGTCCCACTGGCCATCCAAGTCCACCCCAGCAGGCACTCAACCATCTGTGAAGCATTCTTGGCTCTGAACTGTGCCTGCAGGAGCTGTTAACTTCAGTGAGAAGCAAGAGGCAGCTCTAAACATACTTCCCTTGCTCCTCTTTCCAGAGCCAAAGCTGTAGAAACCCAGGCTCCCATCCCCTTTACCCCAGCTACCCATGGGGGAGGGGGGACAGCCTACTCAGCATTCAGAAAAGGCAGGACATGGGACCCAGGACACACCCCACCCCTTCAGGAAGGTACTAGGTAAGAAGTTGTATCTCAGGTCCAGCAATGTGAGTTCAGTGATCAGCCCAACTGACTTGTTCCCAGGGAGTTCAGCTGGAAGAATTTTGGGGGCCTGGATCTGGGGAAGACTGAAGAAGGGAGGTCTAGAGTTTGGAAGGTCAGGAGAGGCTCCAGGGACTGTGAGGAAGGGACAAGGGACCAAAGGCTGGAGGGGAGGGAGATTAGTCAGGGAGGTTGGGCAGCGTCCCCAGGACTCTCAAATGCCAGGCATTCCGCTAGCGCATTCCGGGTACATCTGGTATGAATTCCAGGCTGTCTGCCGGCCCCTCCATGTCTGAACTTTGTTCCAAGTTCCAAGCCCCGCCCCCACAGTTCCAACGCATGAATCAGCAGGAAAAGCCGGGCCCTGCAGCATGGCCCAGGGAGGGGGCTGGGGGCGTGGCAGGCTTGGGGGCTGTGAGCTGGGAAGGGCGGGTCTGTGCTGACACGGCCCAAGGGCATGCCCATGCCAATGGGAGGGGCCAAGGTGGTCTTGCCTTGAGATTTCCATACTCAGCGGTTAGGAAACATTAGGGTAGGGGTGGGAGGTTTTCAAATTACTAAACCCTCTTGGGAGGCATGAACTTTGAGGTACCTTCCTTCCACCAAGTGACCAGTCCCCAACTCCTTCCCATTCCCCTCCATCTGAGCCTGCTCTGGTCAGCTCATAGGACTTAGCGGTTGCTGAGAGTTTGTGCCAAGCAGGTGCCCTTGGCTGCAGGGCGGGGTGGGTCCAGGGCACTGACCCTCTGACCAGCTGCTCCATCTACCTTCTGGCACCCTGACAGCTTCCAGCCCAGTCTGACAGCCAAGATGACAGGCCGAAAGAGTTGGAGGCTGGAACTAGGGCCGGAGGGAGGTGGGGGCGATAGCCTAGCCCGAGGCCACGGGGAGGGGCCAAGAGTTGGCCGAGAGGTGGGGAGAGAGGGAGCCCAGTGATGACTAACCCAGGCGCCCCACCCAGCCAGCCAGTTTCTCAGGCGGTCGGGGCCAGGCCTGGGCTAGGGCCCCCACAACCGGACAGGCTTGGGGGAGGTGCAGAGGTGACCTTCTCTCGGCCCAAGCTAGTAAGGCTGGGGAGGGGGGTAGAGTTTCCAGGCCCTCCTCGTGCCCGCTCCCCCCACCAACCGCGGTGAAACCCTAAACCTTTGGGTTGCATAAGGCCCCGGCACCGCCGCCCCCTACTCCCCTCCCCTCCCCCCTTACATAACATCCCCCGGAGGGAATGAGAGGAG